GCATGACGGATATAGACGACGCGACGTCATAACACAAAATTTTGCCACATCTCCATGACGAATATAGTCGTCAAACACGCTTAACTGGTTAATATTTTTGTCCATCCCGCTTAGTTCGTTATTTAATCTTTTGGTAAGATAAGGTAAGGTAAGGTAAGGTAATATAATAATAATTGTCAATTGGTGCTATGTTATCGGTGTGAAAGAACAGCTGCAAGACAACATCTGAGTTGGCAGTTCAGATCCTGTACGTATAAAGGTAAGATCAACTTAGGGCGCCTTGAGAACTCTGCACACACTTGCTTTTACTCTGTCGTTGACAGCCAGCCCCAGCCCTTTTCCTCCTCCTCCTCCTCCTCCTCCTCCTTCTCCTTCTCCTTCTCCTTCTCCTCCTTCTGTTTCTTTTCGTTTTTCTTTTTAACCAGACAACAACTATACGACGATTACAGTCGAAAACTCGTGGAGGACGTCGACCTGACACATACGTCGGCACCTACATAAGAAGAGAACGAATGGAATGCGTTTCTCCGTCTTCTTTTGGAATCCTTTCCTATACGATAATGCCAAAAGAAATTTGTCTCGAGTACTCTTAACGAACTTTTTACTATTTTTCGTTTTATTGAAAAATTTATCTTTAAACAAAACGAAACAAAACGAAACAAAAAGAAAAAAAAAATCATTCCTTTCTTCATAACAATCTTCGACAAAATGTTAATATCTATGATTCGTTTTAAATATTGAGATTATTTCGGTTCAAAAAAAAAAAAACACTGGCGGAATTTTTGGTATTTGCAGCAATGAACTTTTGAGTTCCTAATGTCAATTAATAATAATAAACTGTGATAAATATCAAAGTAGTATCTATATTATCATCTCAATCGATCTAATACGATGCAAGTGAAAGGATCCGAGGAGTCATCATCGTTTAGCAAGCGTCAATTCATTCTACCGAGGTGCATTTAATTGACCATGAAAATGGAATGTCACGGCTAATAGATTTTCCAGATTAGGAACTTATGTATCGTGACTATGCGCCTTTTTGCATTTCTATCGATGAATCCATACATCAACGTGTTATACATATTTATTTTCTACTCCTGATAATAAATGTCTTCTTAGAAAAAAAAAAATCAAAGAGAAAAGGAAAGAAAGAGAGATAAAAAGGGAGGGAGAGAGGACGACAAAAATTTAACTTAATTTAAACAAGAAGAAGAAGAAGAAAAAAGAAAATGATAATTTATGAATTATCATTTAAATAATAAAATACGTTCCGTGCCACATGTACCACAAAGGGTACACGTTAAATTTGATCTTCAGGCCACGTGTACCATCGGTGATACACTTAGACATATTTATTTAATGCGCTGAAAATCAAATGGCTTGAACGACAAGTCAGGCAGAAAGGGCTTGCCATGTTAACGTGTAAATGTGTCGAAAAAAGAATGTAAAAACGTTATACTCGTACGAATAGATACGCTTGGTTATTTT